AAACCTAGGAGTCCTTGTGGTACCTTAGAGACTAACCAATTTATTTGGGCATAAACTTTCGTGGGCTAATGCATGCATCCGATAAGTGGGTTTTAGCCCACGAAAGCTCATGCCCAAATAAATTGGTCAGTCTCTAAGGTGCCACAAGGACTTCTAGTTGTTTTTGCTGATACAGACTAACACGGCTACCACTGAAACCTGTCGTCATACATTGCAATGTGGCTCTATGTACTACTCCAGGCTCCTTGTGCATAAATTAAACTGCACCTTTAATGCACCAGGCCCACGCCAACTTGCCCTTAAACCAGCTGAAACACTTGTATGGATGTCAATGGGAGTTGGGTCAGACCTTGAAGTAAAATTAGTGAGTTGTATCAAGCATCTGAGAACTATACACTGTGCTGGGCTCTTTAAGTTTTGTATCCCATAACAGGGCTCCTGGGGGGGAGGAGGGGGAATATTTTTAATGAGATTTTAAATTATGTTCTTAAAAGTTTTCAGAGTCATTAGAACTCTAGGGATCCTAAAACCACCACACTGTAAATGACATGAAAATGGTATATTTTGCTATTTTTTTTGGTGAAGAAACCATTCAGTTTTCAAACTCATAACTGGAAAGTCATCAGTTTCCAGCCAATTAACGGATGCACAGCTGCTTTTTACTCCCTAGCCAGTATTTAACTCTGCTTATACTTAATTTCCATTTCCTAAGAAATTGTGGTCATCTAGATAATTAAGACTTATTTTGTCAGAACTGATTTGGGAGGAGTGCATCATTTCCTTTTGTTAAAAAAAAAAAAAACAAAAAAAAAAAAAAAAAGAAATCCAGAGCATACATCTTTTCTTTTCAGCATGAGAGAACATTCAGATGGGTACTGAGGAAGAACCTCAGAGTTGAAGCACCTGCCCTATTTTTGATCACTGAAAATTACAGACACAGAGTTAAATTCTGCCTTGGAAAAATATTTACAGCTCCTCGGCTAACTTCAAGAGGAATGATACCCACTCATATCAGGAGTCAGGACTGTTTTGACTTCTCCATAGATATCAAAGATTCCTTTTTGTCTGTTTACCAACATTTGCAACATATGCCAGTGGAAGTGATTCTTGGTTCTAAGAATTCTAGCACTTTTTGTTAACAGGAAAATTTAATGCATTGACAACCTGCAAAAGGAGTTGAGCAATGAGGTGGCAAACTTTGCAGATGAGACAAAATTATTTAGGTTAGTCAAGGCCAGAAAAGACCCTGACAAGCTTCAGAGGCACCTAACCAAGCTAGGTGAATAGGCAACATGATGTTGGTAAATCCTAAATGTAAAGTAATCAACATTGAAGGGGAAAAATTAAACTACTCATACAATTTACTGGATTCTAAATTAATTGTGTCAACTCAGGAAAAGAACCTGAGTATCAGAAACCTCTGTAGAACTATGCCCAATGTGCAGTTATAGAAAACAAAGCAAACAAAATATTAAGAATGGGAGAGAGAATAATACAGTATAGAAAATATTATAATGCCATTATATACATCAGTGGTTCACCCTCACTTGGGATAGAGTGTTCTGTTTTGGTAACCATCTAAAAAAGGACATTGCAGAATTAGAGGCGGTTCAGAGGTGGATGATGGCCCTGATATGAGAAATGGAAAAATTCATATGGAGAGAGATTGAACAGAGCACTATTATTTACCTGAGAAAGGAGATGAGTAAGAAGAGACATAATAAAAGCATACAAAATAATATTATGGAGAAGGTAGACTGGGAGCTTCTTTTCTTCATCTCACACTACAAGAACAAGGACACTGAAGCTGAAAAGTAACAAATTCAAAACTGATAAATTATAGTTTACATACTTATATAGCCCACATTACTGTAGTAGCTGAGTACCTCACAATCTTTAATGTATTTATCCTCACAGCACCCCTATGAGGTAGGGATGCACAATTATTCCCATTTTACTGATAAGGAATTGAGAGATTAAGGCCCAGATCCTCAAAGGTATTTAGGTGTCTAATTTCCATTGAGTTTAATGGGAGTTAGGTGCTTAAATACCTTTGAGGATCTGGGCCTAAATGACTTGCTGAAGGCCATGGAGGACGGTTAAAATAGCAGGGAACTGAACCCTAGTTCACTCAAGTAGCAGGCTAGTAGCCTGACTACCTAACCATCCTTCACACAATATGTAATGTGACTGTGGAACTCTGACATAGGATGACATTTCTGCTAGGACTTCAATAAGACTGAAAGAGAGAGTGGACATTTATGTGGATAGCATGAGTTTCCAGAGTTATAATAATTAATGCTAAAAAGGTGTTTTGGAAGGGATATAAACAGGGCCGGCTCCAGGGTTTTGGCCGCCCCAAGCAGCCAAAAAAAAAAAAAAAAAAAA